CAGTTAATTTGTTCTTATATGACTTATATTTTTCTTCCGCCTTCTTTGATCTGTACTTTATGAATTCCTTATATAACACATTCTTCTTTTTACATGCATTCTGTAATCCCTTACTTATCCATGGTTTCCCACTGTACTTCCTCTTGTTTTTATACTGCTTACGAGGACAGTTCCTGTCATATACTTTCATGAATATATTTAAAAATTGCTCATATGCTTTGTCTAAGTCTTCCTCTTTGTAAACTGCTTCCCAGTCTTGCCCCATAAAGTCCTCTTTTAGCCTCCTTACAGCATGTTCATTCATCACCCTCCTATAAAAAAGGAGTACATATGCACTTATAGCAGCAGGATGATGCACTGTGTTTACTATGGGCAGGCGTTATCACAACATTTACTCTGATGCAGCATCAAGATGTACCATCATGAATTGTCCTAGATTTAGTGACAAGAAAAAAAAAAAAAAAAAAAAAGATTCACACTTGAATAAAGTTTGACCAAGGAATGTGGAAAAAAAGATGTTAGGAAATCAATCCATTTATGCTACATTCAGTTGATGTTGGCAGAATGGGAAGAACAGGAAAAACTCGGCAATGACATCACAGTACCAAAGTCAGAATGAGCAACATTGATACTGATGTCAAAACTTGTAACTACTACTAAGCTTTTGAATGCTTGTTTACCATCACCACTGAATGTACAAATATGAACGACACATCACCATTTCCCTCCTCTATGCAAAAGTGAAGCCAAAATATTGCAAATACGGTGACTGTCGTCTCAGCATTTTGCAACCAGATTCAGCACAATAGCAACCGAGTAGAGTCGCGTATCAGACCTCTTTTTACATCATCAAATACAGTAACTAATTTGTTTTCAATTAATGTGGAAAAAATGACCACATGTACATGCATCAGTGTGATGACATCTACCAAAAACCACAGAAATGACCTCTGGGAAAATTGTTTTGATTTGTACTTTGAGCTTTTAGTTTGTCTCATGTCTTATCCACTAACATGGAGGGGGTGGGATTTATGACCTGTACTGCAACCAGCCACCAGGGGGCGACCAGTGCATCACTTCCAGGAGTCATCTACATTTTATACTGGCTCTGTATGTCACTGAGTGATTTGCTAAACCCGAGCTATTTCTTTTTACTGGTCTCTGGTAACTACTTAATCATGTGCATGCTAAAAAAGACGACGGTTTTTAATAGTGAGTAACAAATATGTGCATAACTGCAGCAGAATGCAGCACTGGTACGAGTGTTTAACTCCCCAGAATAGGATTTAATGTCAGCCAGATCCATTAATTCACTGCCACTAATAATGCGACTATAACCTCTATAAAAATGATTCTGATTCTATAACCTATAAAATCTGCACTGAACCCCTATGATGTAAACCGCTACAAAAGTCCAAATTAAGACTTTTTATTGTGTTGCCATCTCAGATCACCCGGGAGAACTACGGGATGACAGAAGTCAAAGAGCTGGTCCCTGGGGGAGAGAGCATCAGCGTGGACAAAAACAACAGGTGAGGCAGCACCACAGGTCAAATGGGGCATCTTGATTTGATTTGATTTGATTTATTCTTTCAAACATGCAGAACAAATGACATCCAACACACACATAATTACACAAATCCAACCAATGCTAATCCAGAATCAGTTTGCTTATACCTAGTACATGTTTGAATGGAGTAGGAAGAAGTCAGACTTATCCAGTCCTACCCCATAACATCATCTTATTTCATGCATCATTGGCTGCAAGCAGTATCTCTACATAGGTAATTCTCTTCTTCACCAGACAAGTAATACACAGAAAATTTAAAACAGAGTGTTTCATTCATGC